ATATATATATATAATAAGCTTCATATAGCATTCATTATCTCAAATCTTTTTGTTATATGAGATATTATCTTTAAATTTATTTCTTCTAACAGAGTTTCAGCGATCTTGTGATAAAAATCGAACAGCAATCTATTTATGTCTACAAAAATATCCTACAATTTCGTACTTCACATTTCAAACGGATAGACCAATTTATAAGCTTTGAAGATGGTCAAAAGTAAGTATTTATGTAAAAGCTCATGTTATTCTTATTAAAAATGTTTTATATTTGATTTTTTATATATGATTTCCTTATAGTGTCATCAGGCTTAATGGATTTTCCTATGCCATATATAACATCTATTTCAAATATTTATATACTGGCAATATATATATCTCTGATATGTCTCTGGAAGAGAGATTTCGTGAGTCTGAGTTTAAATAGAGTTACAACAATTACTCCATATTATTATTGCTTACAATTCATGATTAAAACCATTTCGTTGCAGATCTCCTGAGATTAGCTGATTCATTGAACGATAATAGATTCAAAGAAAGTTGTTATAGAGTGATAAAGAAAAACATAACGGATGAAAATGTATTTGTTCTTTACAATATGGCGCAAAAGTATAGCGACAATGTATGTAACTAGCAATCCTGCTTTTTTTTTTTTTAGTAATAAATTTCGTTAATAGCTGATTTCTGTCTTCCAAAAGAAAATATCACATTTATAATGAAATTGATATACTAGTATTAATCGGATATTTTTCTTATTTCTATTACAGTAAAAATATTTTTTCAAATTTGTTTTATGTCATATGGCGGGAGGAGGGGGAAGGAGTAGCAAGATCGTAAATTGTCTTCAAATTATTTATTAGATATGCAATTTTCCTCTATTAAGCTCTGGCACTCCAGTATTGCACTTAATACTAAAATTCATGAAGTGCAAAAAAACTTATTTTTATTGTGTTGCATACTTATTTACTTATTATACGTATAAATTTATTATTATATACATTTATTTATTATACGTATTTGACATAATTTGCAGTTACTGGAGAAGTTATGTATTCAGTATTTCCAAGAAAATAAACCCTATGTGATACAGATGCCGAATTTTTTAGAATTAAACGAAGATGTAAGAAATATGTTTATGGATCTACCATACTGGTGAATGGAGAACTTAGTCGTAACTAGTAAGACGTAGTGTTATGTATTTTTTAAGTACATTAGTATTGGTATAATTTAATTTTTTATTTTTTGTTCTATTTGAATATTGATTATGTAATTTTCATTTAATAAAATAAAAAATTTTTATGTAAATGGAAAATTTTTTATAATATTCTAGAATAGCAAATTTTTTAGAATATTAATAGAATTTTTTAGAATAATAGAAATAAGACTCTCGTCACTACTAAGGCTGTTCGAATTTTGTGTTATTGCATCTATGATTGTAACAAATACACCTAAAAACAATTTTAAGTTGCGAATTTTAATCAAAACTTTTTTATTGAAAACGTGATTAATTTTAATTTTGATTAAAATTGTTTTTAGATGTATTTGTTATGATCATATTTTTTATATGCGTGCGTGCGTGTACATCTAAACCGACATTTTTATTGTAATTTAATTTAGTTTAACATCCTATTAAAGGTATATTTTAGCGAAAAAGCAGAATGCGAGAAAGTAGAAATTATAATTTCTATTTTCGTAAAGTATATTTGATGAGAAACATTATAAATAATTATTAATAATTTATAATATAATATATATAGAAAAATTTTAGAGAAAGACTATATATAGTTTTTCGACACATATCGACTAAAAAATATAATACATAAAACAGTAAAATAGCTGTTATATATACATTTTATAATTAATTTTTTCTGTATAGTTTAATAATATTTAAAGAGACCGTTTAACATTCTTATTTTTAATAACATTATTATTTTTGTAAGAGAATTAAAATTCTACATTTATAATTGTATACTTCTTTTAAACAATTTTAAATTTTAAAACAATGTAAAAATTATAAATCTGGAGATAAAGCTGTAAATATTCTAATAAATTTGCTTACTTTTATAATTAGACATTCAAGATAAACATTTATTTCGAAATACACAATTGTATATTCAGTGGAAATATATTGGGACTACA